TGGAGAAAATCAAATTAAAATAATCTTGACATGTGCTAAAATTTTTTGTCAATCTTAGCCGTTCATAGTAGTAAGGTTTTAATATAAGAGCGAGAGTTATGTTCCTTATGTTTAGATGTTTTTAATAAGTTTTGTTTTTAATTTACTTTTCTTTCAGGTTCAAAGCCGTTGACACGAACCAGAAGATTACACGTTACGAGCAAAGCAAAGAACTCTTGAAATAAAATGTCTTAAAAATCATAGCTCGTGTTAGCTTGAGAACAATTAACAAGTCAGCTCGTCGCAAAAAAAGCTCGAAGGAAAAACCAAGTCTTTTGGTTGGACAAGTCGGAAGAAACTAAGTCTCTTGCCGGCAAAGTTTTGTGCTTTGGAACGGGACGAAAAAAAGTCGAAAAGGAAACTAAGTCTTTTGGCGAGAAAATTCTCCCTAGGAAAAAAGTCTGAACTTTTGAGTGGTGTCTGGTTTTGAGTCAAAAATATACCAAGTCTTTTGGCGGGAAAAATATTGCACTTTGCAAATGGTTTTTCCCATCAAAAGTCCAACTATATGTTTGATTTCTGACTAGACCCTGTTCAAACGTGCAGAATTTTTTTTCCTCGCGGCAACCCTACGTAGTCAAAAAAGAGTAAAAGAGATAGCCTACATTTTCACTAGTTTCCAGGCCCCCTTTAAAAGTGCGATTTTTTAAAAAATTTCTTCACTGAACAAGTCAAAAAGACAATAGATGATGGACACAATTAAAGTTGTCAAACATTTTATTGATTGCTTTCATTTTATTGAGAAAGTAAACATTAAACTTGATTAGAAAACTTTAATACAAGTAATGATTATACAATAATTTTAAGTCGTGAAATCTGGATATTTTAAATACCCGTATTCAAGTATCAATAGAAAAATAACTAAGGCGAAAATAGGAAAAAAAAAAATTAGCGAATACTGCTGCTTCACAAGCTAAATTGTCAAGTCTAAAGACCGCTTGTAAATAGAAACAAACACCACTAAAAATCTAGTCACTAAAGTTTGAAAACGATTTGGGATTGATGAATACTTTCTCTTTGAAACGAATACTTGAAGATCTTGACTTCTTATGAAAGAAATAATTTGATGAAACAAACAGTTCAGTTGCAATCTTTTTAAAGCCTTTTTACGTCAAAGTTCCTCAATGAATGTCATAAAATTTCAACTAAAATAACCACAGAGCGAATTGATTTCTAGATTTGTGCAAAACACTCCCAATAAATAGCGTACGCAATATTTTTCGGTGCAATCATAGAGCGAAATATTACCGCCACAAAGCAACACAGCAGAACAGGCAATCCTTGTATGTTTTCACATGTTTTGATAACATGCTTCGCTGCATTATTTTGTGGCGGCAATATTTCACTCTGTGATCACACCGAATAAAATTTGTCAGCTATTTAATAGGAGCATTTTGCACGAATTCGACCATTTTTGTCAGGCTCAGACTTCAAAACGATGAACGCGAGGTTGATATCAACAGGGTTTGGAAAAGTGTTTTTCAGTCGGAATTTTTAACAATGATTGACGTAAACAAAAGTGTCTATCAATTGGATACGAGCCGGAGTATTAGAAAACAATTCCGTCGTCTCACGACAATGCTCTGTTCCTCTCCTTGATGTTTTGTTAGTTTAAGTTTGACGACGTGATTCTCGCAGATTTGTAAGATCAACTATTCCTTTATGTAAAATTTTGGTACATTCTTTCTGGTGGTCGGAAAAAATATCTTAAGTTATATAAACCTGTAACTATCTTGTCTTATGTTCGTGACTTCTTTAAGAGCGTTTTTCCTCTGAGTTTGTATCCTGGATTGTGATCCACCGCATTCTTTGTTAAAGACACTGAAAGGAAATAAAAATGTAAGGTTAAAATACGCAAACCTACAGAATTTTCTGTGGCTATGTACAACAGTGCATGTGGTTTTAGTTCAGTGCTCGTCCCGTCTCTTTTTCACAATATTTTCATGTAACGCTGTGAATTTAAATCTTCTCCCCACCTTTTTCCCTTGAAAATACGTTCTTATTACAAGGAGAAAACAGATATTGATCAATCCAAACGCTCACCAAATTGAAGCATATAAATTAAGTGGTAAATAAGATTATCAACAGATATGGTAGGTCTAGTCAAATGAAGATCCTTTTCTTTATGATTTTCGTAAAAGCTCAGCGATACGAGAAACAATTTCTTCGCGGTTTCAGCTAGCACTTGACGCGCAACAATATAATGTATTCGTTTGATCTTCAATGTTATCTCGTGAATTTGAATGTATATATTGTTTTTCGAGAGACAAAGGAGCAATTCTCAAGAGGACATTGCGTGATCCATAAATAGGAAATTTACATACGTACGATTTACTGGATGGTTAAAGATGAATAAGCCAAATATAATTCAAAACATCTACAGAAACGAGAGGTCAGCTATAAAACGCATATTTGTGAACGTAAAATCAGCTCGAGGGAAGAACACTTATACTCCTTAGCTTGGCTTTGAAATAGCAGCCTTTTTCGGGAATCACGCAAAGTAAATTTAATTAAAATCATATACCTTATTCTTAGCACCATCTCGAGACCAGCGCTCATTTCTCGCGTTTTTCGCAAGTGCTAAAATAAACACGATCCACATAAATAACTGCAATAATACAGTTTTCAAAGAATGATCACGTCGTTATTGACAAATTGATCAAAGTAAAGATTTCATTTGATAAAGAAAAATTGAAAAACCTAGTCGATTGCCAAATTTTTGCAAAAGCAAGAAAATAACCAATAACTGAAAAAAAAAAAATCAATTTTCATGGAACGTCGAGCGCCGATAAGATGTGAAATTACAGATACAGATATGTGTAAAGGTACTTCAATTTCAAAACTCTTTAATTTTTCCTGCACTTTCTTATTTTACCAAAAAGTAAACGTTTAATTTCATTAGGAAACTATATACTCTAGAAAGTCACTCGATTTGACGTGTTTACTTTTGTTTACATTCCGATCATACCATTGAAATTGTAAAGACCCAGTCACGTGGTAAATTTCTTGCACCAGCAGTTGTGAAATTCACACGGATAAAAGAGTCGGTTAAAAACGCTGTTGAAAAGAATTTGAACTTGAACTATTGTTTGACCGTTTCAAAGGGAGGGGCACAAACACAAAAAGATCTACCAGTTATGGTAGTTTAAACGCAACGGAAAGAACTTAAGAGAAAGTTTATATTAACGTTGCTTCGCTAGTAATATAAAATAAAATAAAATGACATTCTTCGCTGTTCGCAAACTGTATGCGATCACGTTAGAGCTTTGTTGGAGAAAAAGGCGATTCCCCGAAATTTGTTTGTTCAAAAAAATTCTCAGAGAGTTCGATACAAATGCACGAAAGAATATCGATCATCTGGGACCTATATTACGTCGCTGTTTTGTCGAATTTTTCATGGCAAATTAATTCCTGCTTTGAGAATGTGGATGCACAGAGCTTAGCTTTGATATTACAATTACAGCGAATCGCACATAACTATCCTACTTTGTTGCAGATTCAGTGCGATTTTGGACAAGAGCATATTCAATCATACTCGTAGAAAATAGGCAGTCGTTATTCACTTAAAACAATCGTTTAGCTCCTCATTCCTGATTAGATTTATACATGACTGGAAATCGTTCTGTAGAGAATCCAATTTGATATTTTGGGTAGCCTCAATGTGTCGAATTAATCGTGTCACGCATAGTACATGCGAACATATAAGCAGTTTTATTAGAAATGTCATAGCTCTGGAATGCCCCATTGCCGAGAAAATAATCTTTTTATCGTATCAGCAATTTTCTAAAAATGCATGTAGATCTTGAAAAACCCAAAGTAATAAAAAGATGATGATAAAATTTGTAGAGATACATGTATTGACAAAAACTTAAAAAATGCATTCAAAGGAAACTTGGAAATTTTGTGTGAACACATGTTGTCTTAGAAATGTAAAATCGCGCAACCAAACATTGGCCCAGTTAAATGTTCCTGGATAGATTTTAAATTATTTTGTCAAATTTTGGTCATTAAAATTATCTACCTCTTTCTCGATCAATTTTAGAAACAAATTCCTCAAGGTTTGGTCATTTTTGTTTCAGTAATTTTGAAACATAAGTTTGAAATCAGTGCGGGCATTTTCCGTTCCATGGGAGGTCAAGTTAGTTTACTCGATATTTTAAACTTATTTATTCCCAAAGGGATAAAAAAAATATCTTGTTTTCTTCTTGCAAAACCTCAAGATGTTGGCCGTGGTTGTTGCTAACACATACATAGACTTATTTTCCTTCACGGAATCATATAAATCAAGCACAAAGTTTGCTCAAGCCCACCTTTACTCATTTCTTTGCTTGTGATTTCCTCTTGCTGCGTTCCATCCGTATCAAAATGTTCCTATGATGGTTCTCCAACTGTGAAAAACACGAAAAAGGTTACAATTAGCAACTGCTTCCTTATGCAACTGTAACACTGCCGGTCTTAGCCTTTGGGTCATATTTGAACAAAGCGTAGCTTTAAAACGTTCACTGGCCACAAAGACACGTGTAAATAGTATCCTGTGAGAATGCCTGCATGCACCTCTCTAGTACTGATATGGGTATAGGTTTTTTCATTGCACTATTTCAGAATTTAATATTACCATTGTAACACTAGCCTTATGTACACATTGCGAACCTATTTTTCTTGATATTTATTGCATGAAGTTTTTACTTGGTTTCCGTTGCTTACCCTTCTGCAATTCTTTAATGTCGTGTTCTTCTTTGCATGTTCTTGTAAAGATTCTTTAATGGGACTACACCTAAATTTGATAAAAATAATTCGGGATAAGCAAGTATTATCCGATACATGATGACAAGCTACTCGTCGCTCCCATGCTAAATAGTTAATATTTGGATTGTTTCATGTTGATGCCTCGCAGCTTGTAAACGAGGTATACAGCAAAAATGTAGAGCTGGAAAATGTTGAGCTTATTAATTAATTTTTTGCCAACTTTCTGTGCGTAATATACCTTAAAGAGAATCACGGCTAAAAAACAGTTTTGTTCTAATTTTCTCTCTTGTTT